TCTATGGAAAGAACTAAAGATCAGAGTTCATAGAAGAGGTCCACGAAACCTTCAAGATTTGCAGACTGTTTGTGGAAGAATGGGCCAAAATCACACCTGAGCAATATGGGGTTCCATTTGTGCCAAAAATATGTTGTTTCGTCTTTGTCTCTTGAAGCTGTCATTGCCAACAAAGGCTTTTGTACAAAGTATTAGATAAATTTCAGTAAGTGTGTTCAATACTTTTTCCCTGTGCCATTCCACATTATTACAAATAACTTAATTTCTGGACATTTATGGTTTGATTTCTTTGTATGTATGGATCACTTGGGTGGTTACTGACATGTGGTGAAAATTTCATGTCATTAACACCTCTGGTAATATATTTACTGAGAAAAATGGTGACGTGTTCAATACTTATTTTACCTGCTGTACCTTAAGTGCAAAAAGCTTCATATCTGTTCCTCCTAAAAGCTTTTTTAATGCTTTTTAGACTCAAAAAAACTTTAAATTAAGACTTAAACAGAGGAAAAATGTACATTATGAGTACAGCAATTCATATATTTATATATATATATATATAAAACATTTTTTCACAAACACTGATTTCTAAAATTGCATGCATTATTTTAATCAAAACCTTTGCACTTTTCAACTACAATAAATAAACTGACGTTAAGCCTTTTTGTGTGCATTTGACACGTACAGCAGACAGGTTCAATCTACAGTTCATCTGCTTTAAATGAGAACTTTACACCAAAAGTTACAGAATACTTTGCACAGTATAACATAAATACAATGAAAAAAATAACAATAATACAATGGGTTCTTATTTTTCTTATCCTTCTGCTCGTTGATGTTGAGCACAACAATTGTAATGGAGAAAACTGCACTAGTAAGCAGTTCCTCAAATCTGTTTCCATCGCAAACCCTATGGCTTCATGGTTCTAGATGAAAATGTAGTATTACTCTGTAAATTGCTTTCAACTTTAAGGTCAGGAAATTGGGTGGGGAAAAAGGCAATGGTGTTTTCTAGAAATACAACTTCAAGTGAAGACATAATCATGAAAGAACACTATAAGGTGGAGCCCTTTAAATGGCTGTGACCTCGGGGCAATGGTCTGGTAAAGGAAGGTTCTTTGTATTGTTTGCTAGTAAGGTCAGGTCAGAATGTCCATTTGCGCTTGACTCCTGTGGCTGCTGCTCGGCTGTCATACATGCACTGTGATTGCTGTAGGAGCTTTGACTGTTATTGTTAAGGTAGTTCTGAAACTGTGTGTCGTTTTGGTTCTCGGGCTGCTCCACGAACCCCGCCTTGGACAAAACCTTGTTGTTCTGGTCAGGCGTGTAGCAGGTCAAAGGGGCGGCAGGAGCACCACCATTCAGAGTAAACTGGTGATTGGCTGAGTACTGCTCCTCTGTCTGATTTGAGTAGCCTGGGTACTGCTCTGCAGACAGGCTGAACGGTCCCTGCACCACGTTTCCATTGGTCGTATTGATTGGATCTTGAAATGCTAAGGCTTCCCTGTAGGATTCACTGGGTTGACTGGTCTGGCCGTTCAAGTCTGCGCTGGAGCTCCCCAGCTGATAGTACTCAGCCGGAGAAGAGCTCATCAAGTAAGGGTTTCCATTAATGTGGTTATCGTGTCCCACAGAACCATCGCTGTAACACATCACAGAGGACAATGGCACCACTTCAGTGTGAGAAACCGCTGGGGTTGTCAGGTCGTCCTCAAAATTCTCACACTTCTCTGCATCCTCATCCTCCGAGTCGCTGTTAGCCAAGCTCTGTGTGCTGGAGTCAGACAGCCCACTGCAAATGCTGCTACTGTCCTCCTCGTCTTCCTCGTCCTCTTCATTCTCCTCTTCGTCGTCGTCATCTTCCTCCTCGTCATCATCATCCAGCGGCTCCTCCATCTCATCTGCAGCGGGGAGGTGCATGCTGGTCGTCTGAGGGACGGAGCTGGTCAGCGAGTACTCCAACCGGTGCTGCGCCTCTGCGAAAGGGTTTCCGCTTCCTGAGTCATTAGTGTTGCCACAGTAACTGTTGGCCGAGGCCGTCTGCTGCTGCTCGCGACTCTTCTCCAGCTCCAGCTTCATGATGGTGTGCAGGAAATGGGTCCGCACACGGATGGGATTAAACTCCACTCTTCCAGTTGAATTGCTGCAACCTTCTTTAGTGCAGCCGCATGGAAATGACATTCGATCCACCTGAGAGAAGCACATCATTCACCACGTGATGCATGTTTAACATACAGTATATACTGTTTTTATTTTCTGTTCACAAGCTAGAAGCATAATGGGATGTACCTGACACTTTATCCCTGCAATGCTGCAAGCACAGGTCTCAGGGTCACAGAAAACCCTGCAGTCGCAGCCACAGTCCTCCCTGGACATGCGAATGGCCCGAAGCTCGTGTTTCTCCTCGACATCGATCTTCTTCACCCCCGAGGTGCGCAACAGCGCTCGACGCTTTTTCGTGGTAAGAGGCTGCAAGAAGAAGTACTCGTCTACCTCTGTGTTGTCCAGATCAATGTCATCGTCTGAGATGTCCTCTGCTGTGAGCGTGTCGGCCTCCTCTGACTCCACGGTGCCGTTATTGGTCAGCTGAAAAACAGGGTGGGAGAACATTGAGATGTTCAAAAACAAACTTTGGTTGCAACTGAGTCTAGAAATAAAACAAATGCTCTGAAAGCTGAGTAATTAGACTTTTAAAAGCAATAAACCATACATGTCATGCAGTACGGACTTTCCTGTGCTTTGCATGTATACAGACATATAGAGCAAAATAGTACTGTGGATTTATTTTTGTGGTAATTATGAACTCTATTAAATCTGTGTACCTTAAGACGTTGTAGCTTTGTTTAGCATAGATTTTATAGACGTTATTATCCAAATCTTTTAAACGGCTCCTTACAATGAACAACAGGAACCAAGTTTTGGCAGTATTGAACTGTTTGTAGTTTTTTTTATTCATCCTAATATCTGTATTTTTTTCATGTTTAACCACAAAGACAATTGCTCCGGCTTCACTTTTTTTCAGGAAAAACAGGCAGAGCGGTGGAGTACAGCAGATCGGGGGAAAGGGGGAGGGGTTTCCTCTTGACAAAACCCATGGTTCCACCCACGTAACGTGATGATGTAACTAGTTTAAAACTGAACAGCTCATTTAAATGGTTCAATGAAACAAACGGCTCCTCAAGATCCCTTCAGAGAGTCATTTATGCCATCTCCAATAGATTTCCTAAAGATTCATGGCATCTGATGGTTGGATGAAAGGAGGTGAACCCAGTGATAAAATATATTAAGCCAAGATTTTATTAGACCAAAAACCCAACAAATTGTATTCTAATATGTGTCCTAAAAATGCTTTTAAAATGTTGTTTTTCTGAGCTGTTTTTAATAATGTTTTGTCCAAAGAAAAGTKTAAAAAAATACCTTCTTACCTTGAGTTTGATTGAGTTAAGTTTCTCCTCCTTCAAGTGGTCTCTGAGCATATCTCTGTGGATCCTCTCCTGCTCCAAGGCAAACTCACCCAGAGAGTACTGTCTGACCCAGCTGTGCCTGTTGGACATGCCCAGGGTGCTGCCCCCCTGGCTGGGTACGCTGGTGAAGCCCTGCCGCCGGCAGAAGTAGTACACTGTCACATTCTCAAAATGAACCCTCCTCGCACGCAGACGCTTCTCCCGCTTCAGTATTGAGTCAGCTGCAAAGAAAAATTGGATTGTTAAAAAAATGTTAATACAAAAGGTGGTACAGGGCAGATATTTCACATTTTAGGTCRAGTGTTTTATGACAATTAGAAAAAAACGAAGCTACAATCTTCAAATCACAGTGGTGAATACAAAACGTCACTGCTTTGTGTACTTGTTCCTAAACATAATAGAACACCTTACAGCATGTTTCTTGAACTTCCACACAGATTCTTCAGCCTTTCTGCTTGCCAAGCAACTCCCCTGTGTGTCTTTTTAAGAAAAGCTCAACAAGGGGGAGGTGCAAAGAACAGCAGCATTCCCAGTGTTCATACGCCGCTCCTTTTACATACACACCACACACACCAGAAAGGACAAATAGAAGCCATCTGGTTTCAACAGCTCTTTACCCGATGTTTTAAGGACAATAATCCTTACCGGAGAAACTGAGTTGTCATACTGAGTCAAATAATCAGGAAGGTTTTCATCACAGTCAAAAAAAAAGAAAAATGTTCCATGAATGTGCAAATGCAAACAAACAAACATGTTGCTATATATGACTTCCCTCTTATGCTGTTTGAGTAGCACATCACTGACATGTGTTTTTCTAATACAAAGAAATGCAGAACCAATGTTTTTTTATTCATGTTCAGTTTCAGCTCTTAATTCAAATGTGAAACACGACTATCTTTAAAACCTGCACCCATCTTTTGTAATTGATATAACCTTGACAGAGTCTGCATTTCTACTGTCCAGTTAAATAAAGCTTTGAATTACAGTGGAATTCCTCTGCCACTCAAATACTTGTGAAACACAAAGAAAGCGGAGCTCCTTCAGATCTCAGCTGTGACCAGAATCTACTAAACCAACATCGACATTTGCAGCTTTTCAGTGAATTTTCAATTTTATACATCTCAACTGATCTAAGCCCAGAAAAAAATGCATATTCAACCTTTGAAATGAATTAAGCACAAATGAAGGAGCTTATAAAACAAAGGAAATTTGATAGTATCATTTGAGATTGCTTGAAAGAGTTTTTTTTGTAGTTGTAAAACAGAAACGCTACTGACTAAAACATTAATTATAATATTTTTTATTAAGTTTTAAACCATTYCTTAGCAACAGCAGTAAAAAAATTGCAAACCCCCACTATTCGAAATTATACTACTTTTTATTTCTATATTAAAATGTTCTTTTAAATCGTGCTATTTGATCCAAATCTGGATTTATACAGTATGTTTGTACACAGCTGGGCTTTACTGTTCTACAGTACGTGTACAGTAGCAGCAGTGTTACACACATAGCTTGACATCAGCTCATTCATCTGGTTGACCTGAGCGTTGTTGCTGCTGCTAATGAGGGGAGCTGCCTGTGTTTGCTGCCCSTTTTATCACAGCACCAGTCTCCTTTTCTCTCTAATGCACAACCAGTTTTAAATTCATATGATGCCCCCTTATCAGCAGACATGCAGATTTATTTTGTTTGAGTTGCAATTTGTAATAATGGTAAGGAATGAAATCTGAGAATCCTTCCTTTTTTATATTAGAAAATATTTTGATCTATCAGCTTGATCTTTATGTGAAATGATTTTTGCCAAAGTGAAACTAGGAACCAGACACTCACGGGTGAAAGGATTTGAGGCAGAGGGGTTAACGCTGTCGCTGCTATCCCCACTYTCACTGCAGGAGACCTCATCATCAGACTCCCGCACGGAAGAGCACGGGGAGGAGGAGGCTTCCACCTCCTCAAATTTTCTCTTCAGTATTCCACTCATGGCCTGCCGCACCTGCACCTGAAATCGAACCACAGCAAAAAGGGGACACGCATTATTTAATATCCAGTTTAGGACCCCCATCATCTCCATCACACAATTAGCCGCCGACCCAGACGTCCCCAACCATCACTGCCACTCTCTCTCCCMCACACACACAGACACACACGTTCTTGCCGCTGTCCCAGCTTCCCAGCGTTCCCTGGGCCATTGATCACCTTGGCACAAAGGAGCAGAGAGGGAACAATAAAGCTGGTAATTACAAACTGCATCTGCCACACAGGAAGTTCATTCCACTGAGTGTGATTGAGAGGTTCAAGAAAAAAAGAAAGTCTGGACCAATATATCTGGTCTGCAACCCATCAGGATTAACTTTAGTGGAATAATACCAATTATCTACAATACTAGATTCTATTATTAGGATTTATGCTAAACTACATGTAGCTATCCAAGTGAATAAGCGGATCTACCACTGTCATCAAGTAACAGCAAATATTTCAGGGGTTGTAGAGTGACATGGTTCAGCAAAACTTTACACACACTCTAAAATTAGTAACAACCCTTGTAACATTCAGTTACATTTTTTTTTCTGTTAACAATTGCAAGGACAGTTGCTATAAACCCACATTATCATCTCTCATCAGAACACTCAACACTCCATGTAAATCAATGATGGGTATTTAGAGTACCAGGAGTAGTCCTATTGCGATACGCAATAAATCAGTCGTACAATAAATTCTAATGATGTCGGTAAATTAAAATGAGGTCGATWATTTTCATTTGCYTGTTTGTTTTCTTTGTGTMTCTCTCTCTTTTCTRCYYCTTTGCATATGGAGGAGTGAGCTCTGGTGTCAGATGTTTGCCAGGTACTTCGAAGGGCGTCTTCAGTTTTCTGGTGTCTTCCTTTAGCTTGCAATGCCTCAGGATACTCTCAGGGCAACTTTGGGTTTGCAGATTTATTTATTTATTTTTTACACTACGTAAAATTCGTAAGCAGCATGCGGGTGACCTCAATTATTTTGTGAAGTCAGAGGAAAAGGCATACGAATAAATTGTGCTGAATTGGACAGAGGTGGGTAGCTACATATGTAACAGCTTCAGTAGCTGTTGTGTGTTGTTTCAATAAATTCTGTTCCCGGTCAGTCCGTAACTTTACAAAATTTCATAAACTTRCTTAAATTTGGTAAGCGGCATGAGGGTGACTCCAGTTTTATGAAGCCAGAGGAAGATATAAACAGTTGTTTTCCCATTCTCTGTTCCAAGTCATTTTCCTAATCTTTGTTGTTTGACACAAAATTCAAAAACTTCCGTAAGTGGAGGGGCAATCATTATATTAGCKTTAAATAATCTCCAAACAACATTATTGTCTATTGYGATAATTAAAGAARATTTATCGTCCAGTAAAATTTGTTATTATCACAAGTCTAACTGGGAGCTCATCTGATCATCAAATATATTTGTGGAATCCCATTTGTGCTTGTGATGTGCTGAAACCCACACATTGATTGATATCACAGTAAAATTCACTCCTAYCTTGTTTCCCGTGAAATGTTTGTGGTTTTGCACATCGTGCAGTACGTTTTAGAACAAACAACATCAATGTCAAGTGCAATTTAGTCCATTAACTCTCCTGACTGATGATGCAATTAGACAAGTAAACAAGAAYGGACTCATCAGTCAAACACACTAAAACTAATTACTATTACTGTGAATCTGGGTCTTATAATAAAACACTGCAGCCATCAGACAGTAGATCATTTGGATTTCTGCTTTTCATCCTTTCAAAAAAATTTCCTGACATTGTTCAGCATTTAATAGACTATATTAAAGGATTAGTTTAATTTTGTGGAAAATACAACTATTTAATCTACTAAACTGAGCATCTTGTGTTCTCTGATTTTGCAGAAAATATTTAGAGCATCGTGTCACATTAAAATGAAATTTGTATACATAACCGTGCTGCAGTGGCACAGTGAGGATTGCAACGACCGGCATCTTCTCCTTCACTGATTTTTCTCTCAGAACCTGGAATTGGTAGAGACAGCGTGCGTCTTCAGCCAGTCCCACGCTGTCTATCTGCCAGAGCAGCTTGTGGGGGAGTTTCATTCACAGACAGCTTCTGCATTTCATCCGGGCTACACTATCAAGTCATTAGAGATGCAAATGCTGCTGGAGAGAGACACGCACAACCCAGAGAGGACTTGCGCTGCCAGCAAGAGGGTCATTGTTCCCTGGAGGCTGTGCTTGTTCAGCGCAGTCACATGGCACAGACAGCATTTGGAGAAGTTCCAGAGTCAACAGCTTTACCTACAACTAAGGAATGTGAAACATCTTTAATGTGGAGGAAAAGAGATGGAAGTCGGTCAGAGTACATTTCTTATCTAAAAWTTTTTTTATAATAGCTCTAATATGAAACAGCTATATGTTAAGTGAAGGAAGCTGCCTTTTATGGCAGACAAGAAAATAAATCTCATTTTCCCTTGTTGAACGAGCATGATGGAAATTAGACTGACTAAAGGAGTGCTTTAGATAATTCTATTTTGTGAGATTTAACAATTAAACTAACAGAAGCTGCTGATCTCACATGAAAAATKAATTTTGTTCACGACGCACTTCATTCATTGTTGAGCATAAGTGGAAATTTCCACCAGAGATGAGATGACCTGTGCAATTTTTGTCCATTTCCCAGTCAGGGCCCTAATTAGATCCCATTGTTGGAAGCATATTCGTATGCCTAGCCCTTAGCTGATGCTGCACTAGGCTTTCATATCAAAAGTGGTTTCCATGGAGATTCTAATGTACTCTCACAAATAGTGCTTCCCCATATGGCCGAGCTTCCAGTGTTACATGCTGTGCATGGGGGCTCGAAACAATAAAACACTGATGTTGGAGGAAATTCTGTTCAAACATTCGTTTTTTCCTCAAATAACAAGCTTCATCTGCATTCTGTTGTGCCTGAATGAAAAGTTCAAACATTGTTGCCGAACGGGCATGACATCATAAACCACAGAGCTGTGGGTAATCTGGGGTGAACCATTTTCATCAAGGGTTAAATTAAAAACAGATCGTTGCTCCTCTCCCACAGCCCTTTCTTTGTCTTCGCTGTTGCCTTTCCACTAATCGTGGCTGGGCAGCGCACGCACTGATGTAAAACGGAGAAAATCCCAGAGAAAATAATGCAGCATAGAGCGAGCTTGGAAAGCCCCTCCCTGTGTTTGCCTACTGTGTGCACACACAGTAGTTACAGACACCAACTTCTTATGCCTTAAGAACAACATTCACAGTGCGGTGACACACAAACACAATGATAATCAGCTCGTTATGCACAAAGTTCCAACTATCACAACAAACTGAGCATGAAMGGTTCAAAAATGTCCATCCCAAGTGATGCCAACAAGCCTAAGGCATCTGGAGCGAGTCATGACACATCAATCCTCCTGTGATCACATTACACTTGTGTGTGTGTGTGTGTGTGTGAGTGTGTGTGTGTGTGCTAACCCTCCCAGGAACAACTGACCTGTATCCACTGGCAGAGTGTGACTCCTTTCACCTCTTCTAACAGCAGCGCATTCACAGTCACAAATGTGGCCGTTCAAAGCAGGTGAAACATGATGAATGAAGAGATTCTCATTCTTGTTTCAGTCCACTGACTTGCAGCGACCCGTGAGCTCCGCAGCCATGAGACAGCAGCATGCAGGAGGACGGTGAGGGGAGACGGGTAATTTTCCAGCTCTGCCCGCACTGTCTGTAACATATGCTTTATTGTTGCAAGACGACAAGTCTTTCTCACTTGAACTCCCTCTCTGTCACTGTGTTGCACTCTCCTTCTCTTGCTATCTTTGGCCACACAAAGGCTCATTAGCTGCAGCCGGCTGAAAGGCAGGAGCCTGACTGGAGCAGAGCAGAGCAGAGGCAGCCTGTGAGATCACATGGGTGGGATGTCTGAGGGAGAGAGAGAGGGAGTCAGGCGTGCTTCTGCTACTGCTGTCTGCAGATATTTTTACCAACATGAGGAGGGAGGGGAGGGCGGCAAGGACGAGGGAGGGGGTACGGGGGGGCTCGAAAGACAAAATGTTGAAGAGGCTGATGAGGAGAGGTGTGTGGGAGATGCAAGGCAGTGGGAAAATGGGGCGAGGGATTGTAGTAGAAATTCACAGAAGAGGAGGGGAAAAACGGGTGGAAAAGGGTGAGTTTGGGGGCAAAGGAAAAAAATGGAGAAATGTGATGCCAAGAACACAGAGGAGGTGGTGGGTGGGGGACTGAAAGCACACACACACAAAAAAAAGCCCCTACAGCATCTGAATGAAATAAATAATACAAAAAAAAAATCCTGTCTGTTTCAAATTAAACACAAAACACTTTCATCCTTGAGGAAATGTTATGAAACTGACAGACGTCATCTTAATGCAAACGGTTGCACGGTGAAAGTTTTACATGAGGATGCTGGCCAGAGTTGAAGCAAATCATCAACATACAGTAAACTACCTCAGGAAATATGATTTGTCTGCGCTGAACTGCGTGCACTCCTGATGCTTCCTATGCCAGGAAGCTGTGCTGCAGAAGAGTTAAAGGGGCCTCAGCTTGTGCAGTCAAAGAGCCATGATCCCGTTCTTACACTCAGCAGGATCATATGTCAACATAAAAGGTCCGGCACTTCCTCTCTTAAGACAGCTTTAAGCTCAACTCTTTGAGAGCTAATGCAGTATTACACTCATTCCAAACAAATGGCAATGTGTTAGCACAAAGAAAGAGCTCACTTTCAAATGTAAAGAATAAAAGTGTTTAATTCAATATACTCCAGTTTTAAATATAAAAAGCAGAATTCATTTTTTTATTTCGCAAGATCCTGTTTTATAGTTCTAAAGACGATGTGATCTTTACCTGCATATTTTCATAAGTGGGTTTGTAGTGTTCCTTTAATAAAGCAATCTTTTCTGTTTTCTCTCCTGAGCCCTCACACAACTTCAGCTTCACAGCAGTGCACTTCTTCTTCTGCAAACCACCTCTGTCTTGTAATCCTGTCAACGTCACTGAGCTGGTGAGTCACATTAGAAATAACATCAAGTGCCACTAAAGAGCATCATACACTTCAAACTCAGCTTCCTGCAGTAAGCTTTCCTACACTTTGGCATCAATTTGCAAATTATTTTTAAATTCATGTCATTATTTCATAATGCTTTTGTTTAAAAATGATTTTTACACTAAAAGGAAGCATTGGAGGTGTACGGTACTTTCATACAGTACACTTGTAAAATCAGTTAGAAAAAGGGATTTAAGAGTTAAAAGTTTATTTGTGACCAATGCAATGGTTCTGATATGCGGTTTGCACACAGAAAGCCAGAGGAAGAGTACAAGCTGTACTCTGACAGAGCTCGCTGAGCCCTTAAAGCTTACAGCATMAAAATCAAAATGACCATGGAACAAGTAAGCAGTTCAACACAAAAGCAGCGGGAAAAGCTGACATTAACACATGAAAACCTTGATGTAAATCAGTGGTCATATAAAGTCAAAATAATAAAACATATTGTGCATTTACGTTTTTATACTGTTACAAAAATCATATTCTGTATTTTCTATACTGTCTGGCTGGTGAATAGCTCAAACTGTTTAGAAATAAATGATCATTGTTCCACTTTCATTATCATTTTACAGCTAATGTTTCTCTCTCTAGTTAAAAAGATTCAGTGCCAATGTATTAGTCATAAAGACATGACGGTGAGCAACAGCGATTCCTGCCAGTTGTATTTATTGTGTTTCATTTTATCTAGTAGAAGTGTTTTTCTTTTGTTGTGAATTTTTTATGCACAGTTGTAGTTAGCTCTTTAAAAAGGTCTAAATTTGAAGAAACAGGTTTTATTTCTAGCACAACAGATGAGCTAATGGCTAGTCTGTGCTCCACAATGATCATAATGTTTTTTTGAATAACTGTGTATTGGAAGGCAATGTAAAGGTTTATAAAATAAGGATTCACATGATTAAATTTTTGAAAGTGACATTGTAAAATGGCATCAGAGCATTCAAAGAGCTATCTACAACAGGTAAGATATTAACTGTTCATTGTAGAAGCTCACCTTAAATAATCAGAAATATACTTTTAACCTAATTTAAAAAAATTCTAATTATATGTCTATTATGACTTTGTCCTATGATAAAGTAAAAATATACATATTTTTCATACTCTTCATTCCTCTTATCATTTTCTTTAGAATCACACACACACACAC